CAGTATAGTGTCCCCGTCACTATACTGGGGCGTTAGGACCCACACAGACCACAGGGTGAGCACCCCCTGTTGGCCTCACTAACACCTCTTCTATCTTCCTATCTTCCCACATAGTGATGTAGATACCTGGGGGCGTGTTAGAACGAGCCGTTTTAGGTAGGTGTGGCTGACTCTTAACTTTTATAAAGAATATCTCTTTGGATTTGAGACTTTAGTCTTTGCAACTTTACAGATCTTCTTTATGCACCAAGAGCTTGTAACACTCCGAAGAGAAAGGAAAAATTGAAATCGCATCATATGACCCCTTTAAAAATGCAACTAACGTTCTACACAGCAATATAAACAAAGGTGCCTGTTCTCTTTCATTCTTGCTGTTTGTTTGGGAAAAGGGCGTTGAGGGGTCTTGTCTTTATGTTATCTGTCTAAAAACTATTACTTTGAAGTTGAACTTATATTATTACATTATTTATTTGAAAAACATAGAGTGCCTTAAAAATAATTATCACAACACTGATAAAACAGGCGTATACTGATTTTCTCATCCTTCGATTTATACTTATCAATACTGTTTTTATTATCATTATCATTCAAAAAAAATTAATACATTCAGAAAAGGATTAGAATATAATTCTATTTTAAATAAGACAATTTTAAATAATAATATTTTTTTTCTACAACAACAACAGTAGTTTACAACAGCAAAACCACCATACCCTGTAAACTCAATAATAATAATAATAATAATAGAATTCAGTTTCTATTTCCAGAGTAATTAAGAGGTGCAAAGAAAAAATTCTTTAACTTTTAAACTTAAAATGGTCTTTTCTGTTCTGTGTTTCTTTTTCAAAACTGCATCACGGCATTTGCTGCTATCAATACAGAAGCATCCGTTTCGATACACGTATCAGCAAGGAGCACAGCCTTATTAAAAGCCGTGCTCCATGTGCCCCTTTTATACTTGTTTGAGCACCTGCCCCTCCAAAAGTCTCTGCACGGCCCTGCAGCACACATTTATCCATGTGTGAACATTA